CCTTAAGATGGAGTATCCTTTAGGTCTAGGGCCATGCTTTTTGACTGTATTTGGGGGACAGAGGACTCTCTCAAGAGGCTGGGAATTACAAGGCCCAATGGGGCAGAGGTCATTGAGTGTTCCCTGGGCCCTCTATCTTGGGTAGCACTGCCGTGGGTCTCCTGACTCTGTGACAGTCCCATCCTGGGGGCATTTCTCTCCCTTCCTTCTTATTGTCCATGAAGGCACTGCACACTTCTTCCACACCCCATATCTCTGCACTGCAATGATCTTAGCTTTCTCAAATGTTAGCTGGAGATATTGCCTTTCAGCGGCTTTTGACCACAGTCCTGATGAGACAGAACATACCAGGAGCCTGGCTGACTTCTAGGAACAAGGCTAGGAGAAAGCAGAAAACAAAATACAAAGTAATATCTCAGTAAATTCCCTGCCTATCTAAGCACATTTTATCTCTATAACAGAACACCCAAGACTGGGTAATTTGTTAGGAAAAGAGTTTATTTTGCTTATGCTTCCAGAGGCTGGGAAGTCCAAGAACATGGCAGCAGGTTCTGCTGAGGACTTTCATACTATGTTATAACATGGCAGAAAAACAAAAGGATGAGTGAGCATGTTCAAAAAAGATCTCAAGAGCAAGTATAACTCACCTTTGTTAATTAACTATCTGCTCTTGATTCTAACTTGCTTCTGCAATAGCAGTATTAATACATTAATACATGAGAGCAGATCCCTCATGACCCAGTCACCTATATTAATCCATTGTTTATTGAGTTTTCAGTACACACTCTTGGGGGACAAATTCAAACTGTAGCATTCTTCCCCTACCTCTAAAAGTCATGTCCTTATCACAGTGTAAAATACATTCATTCCATCTCAATAGTCCCAAAAGTCTCAACTCTTTCATCACCAACTTCAAAGTCCAAAGTTCAGAGTCTGAGAGTCAAAACATGATTTATCCTGAAGAAAATTTCCCTTCACCTATGAAGTTTTGAAAGTTATCTATTTCCAAAATACAATGGTGGGACAGGCCTAGTGCAGACACTCCTATTCCAAAAGGAAGTAACAAGAAAGTAAAAAGGAGCAGCAGTCCTAAGCAAGTCTAAAACCTAATGGAAACTATCAAGTCTTCAAGCTGGAGAATAATTCTCTTCTGGCTCTGTGTTCTGCATTCTGGGCACACTGGTGCAGGGGTTGGGTCCTGCATTTCTTATTTCTACTGTGTAATGCTCCTGCTTCTTAATTCATTTAGGCCTGAGCCCCTGTATTATTGGGGTGCTGCCCTGACTGTACTGCTCTTCACATCATTTTTAGGGATGGGAGTCCTGCTCTGAACCACAGCCAGAGGTTCTCTTCCTATTCCCTAATGTCAGAGTTCCCCAAAGCAAACCTCTTTGTGAAATCAGTTGCTCTTGAATTCTTTACTGCTTGTCAGGTTATCTGAGGCTAAGTGCTTATCTAAACTTCTGAATGTTGACTTTTGCTTACTTCTTTTTTCTTTTTCTTTTGCTTACTTCTAGTAACCACTCAGGTCTAGTAGTCCTGAAACTTCAGCATGCTTCCTGCTTCCCCTGGAGGGTCTTTTGAAATATTGACTGTTCAGCTGCAGCCCCTCAAGTTTTGAATCTATAGGCCCAAGGGTGGGGCCAGAGAATTCGTATTTCTAGCATGTACCCAGATGATGCTGAGACCTGCACTTTGAGAACCACCAAAACTCTGCCAACTGATTGGTAGAATACATTTTCATTTTCCAGAAGCTCATGTTATACCTATCCTCTGGGAAGCAAGACTGGTTCATAACCTCAGGGGCTCTGATTTTTCTTTTCTTTTCTTTTCTTTTTTTTTTTTAGAGACAGAGTCTCACTTTGTCACCCTTGGCAGAGTGCTGTGATGTTACAGCTCACAGCAACCTCCAGGTCTTGGGCTTAGGCGATTCTCTTGCCTCAGCCTTCCGAGTAGCTGGGACCACAGGCACCCACCACAACACCCGGCTATTTTTTGTTGCAGTTTGGCCGGGGCCAGGTTTGAACCCACTACCTTAGGTATATGGGACCAGCGCCCTACTCCTTGAGCCACAGGCGCCACCCAGGCATCTGATTTTTCTAAATTCTAGTTTAGTTTATGAGGTCATATCCAGCTTAATTAAAGTTTTTCTCTTTTACCTAGTAGGTGTTTGAATTCATTCACAAATTCTACTTCCAAATCATGTTATCGATATAAATGCAGAATCACACTTTTTGCAAGATATTTCCTTTTCCAAACAAGAAACATGGGTCCTTCAAACCCAGCATTATTAAGCTAACCATAATTACAGAGTTAGTACGTGAGCATCGTGGCCATTTCCTGAGCCGCTAGTACAGGTAGCCAGGTGTTTCTCATATGTATCATTCAGAGTCCTGGGAGGGAAGAGACTTCACATTTCCACTGGGTAATTTGAGGAGGATTCAATACAGGAACTATTTGCAAAGTGTGGATAGGGTTTGAGGAATCCATAAACTATGGTATAGCACCCGGGGCTAGGAAGAGCAGACTCAGCAAGGGAAGCTGTTTAAAGAAGTCTGCTTATGGGCTTCTGTACAAAGTAGCCAACCCACAACAATCTGGCAGGAAGGCAGCTTAGAGAGTATATACCTGAATCTCCCTTTCCTTCCAGGGGTGCCTTCATGGGCCCAGCCTACAGGAAGTCAGGTGGCAACGGAGTCTGTTGATGGGTTCGTATGGGTCAACCTCCCAGGGAATAGCAGCATAAAACATGGATCTGGAGGGGCCCACACAAGTTGTCAGTTCCACATAGACTGTCAACTCAGCTATTGCAGAAAAATGCTACTGTCCTCATCTTACGGGGACTGTAACATGGCAAATGAGCTGCCGAGTCGAGGTTCAAATCCACGGGCAGTTTGCCCCATCAGTGAAGGAGACTGAAGAGAAGGGACCTCTGCACAGAGAACCGGGAAGCCCCCCAGATTTGTTTCTGTTCATCCTGAGAGTCTTTAGCAGCTCAGAGGAGAAGGAGAAGCTCCTCGTCGTGTGCTTCTGAGGAGCTGGGGCAGGTGACGCTGCTCCGGGTTGCAGAGCTTCTTGCTGGGATAAGTCCTGCTTTTAAGGTCAGCACGTCCTCTAACCTTGGAACATTCGCCAACACAGACTCGAGGGAAGGGTCTATAGAAAACAGCACGCAGACCTGGCACGGAGTCAGCCTCGCTGCTTTCTTCTGGTGGCTGCCACTCCCATGTCTGCTGGTCGGTCATTGGCTTTAGCTCAACATCACCAGTGGCTGAGCGTTATTTACCAAGTGCTCTTGTGTACTGAGAGTATCATTCTTCAGCATGAATAATAGTACTTGTCAAACCTATGCCATCAATCATATCTCAGAATAACTTAGTTGATGTTTATTAATTATTTTAACCTTAGATGAAAAGTGTCTTTTACTTTTCTTTTCTTTTCTTTTTTTTTGAGACAGAGTCTCAAGCTATCACCCTGGATAGAATGCTACAGCATCACAGCTCACAGCAACCTCCAACTCTTGGGCTTAAGAGATTCTCTTGCCTCAGCCTCCCAAGTAGCTAGAACTACAGGTGCCCACTGCAATGCCTGGATTTTTTTTTTTTTTTTTTTTTTTTTTGGTTGTAGTTATCATCATTCTTGTTTGGTGGGCCCAGGCTGGATTCAAACCCGCCAGCTCCGCCAGCACCCTAGCCTCTTGAACTATAGGCGCCAAGCCTGTCTTTTACTTTTCTAAGTACAAAGATGAATGAGAGAGATCTTGCAAGCTGACTATTTTTTTTTTGCAACACTGAATATTTAACTGCTAAACATGGCGTGGGCACCTTCAGAAAAAAGCCAAAGTAATTGCCGGATAAATTCAAACAAAAGTTATTCAGCAAAGTGCCTTCTGTCTGCCTGTGACCTTTGTGCCAAGGTTTAAATTCAGCAAGCAGAGAAGGGCTGAGAAAAAATGATCTAACAAAACTCTCATGATGGAAGGAAGAAAAAGGATTTATAACAGATGCAAATGTCTTCAGAGGCAGGGCAGGGAAAGAACACATGTGAAAGGGGTGTGGGTGTGGGGGGAGGAAGACTTAAGACCATAAAGGGGTATGGGTGTGGAGGGGCAGCTTCTCTTGACTGCAATTGATCCATTGTTCTTTTGGAGTATGGCCCAAAATTTCTTGGTCTTTCTTTTTTTTTTTTTTTTTTTTTGATCTTTCTAATATCGACAAGCCAGTATCTGAAATTTACTTGCAAGTCCCCTACATTTTCAATGTAGAATATTAAAAATGAAACTCTGCACTAAATAAAACCCTTTTAAAATAAAGACTAAAATCAAATTAGGCTCCATGCCTACAGCTCACTGGTTAGGGCGCTGGCCACATATACTGAGGCAGGCAGGTTCGAACCCAGCCCAGGCCTGCTAAACAACAACAACTGCAACAAAAAATAGCTGGGTGTCATGGTAGGCACCTGTCATCCCAGCTACTTGGGAGGCTGAGGCAAGAGAATTGCTTAAGCCCAAGAGTTGGAGGTTGTTGTGAGCTGTGACACCAGGGCATAGTGAGAGTCTGTCTCAAAAAAAAAAAAAAAAAAAAGATTAAATCAAATTGAATTAAAAACACTAAAATAAATGTAATATTATCTATCTCTAAGAGTCCAGGTCACAGATCTAAGAGTTTTCTAAGGAAACCCACTAGTCAAAGAGAGAAAGAGTGAGAGAGACTCTTCAGTATTAGCATGTAAAACTTTTTGCCAAGATCGAAGTTGATCAAAATATATGGCTAAAAACAAGAACCCACTATTCCTAAGCTAACTTTATTCAGAGATGTTTGTTCTGATTGAAACTTTATTCTTTTACTCCCTTTTGTGTATGAATTTATGCAGAGCATAGATACCATTTACTCATTTGCTTTTAATGTAGATTCAAGATTCAGTCTGAAAAGTAAACCCCCTCTGCGTCCAATTTGCTTCAGTTTGTTGAGCAAAAATAGTTCTTCTTTTCATCGCTGCGTACACAAACCCTTTTATTAATAATTTATCACAATGTTCCATAGCAGAGATAGAGCAGACGCCTACACTGTCATTACATGCTCACAATGTGGCTCTGCAGTAGCTGTGGCTTCCCTGCACCTGCTGTCACCTGCTCCTTCCCTTGTCTCTAAGGCGCTGCATTTGCTATTCTGCTGCCCGTGTAACCTTTAGCTCCACGTTGGATGCTGTCTGGTAGGTGTTCGATGGGAAAGCAGATGGATACAGATGCCGTGACTCCATGCTCACCCTCTACCTCCTCTTGCATTGTGACATGGAGTGGAGAGGTCCTGCGGGGTGGCTGAATCAGGACCCTCAGTGCTGGCACTCACTCACCCACTAATTAGTTTGGAGAAAGATACATTTGGGGGCAGGGCCCCATCATGTGCTCCAGGAGGACATCTGACTCTTTTCCAGGTCTGAGGGAAGAGAAGATTCCTCATCAGATGAATACTTGCAAAATGAGGTCCTTAAAGCCAGTCATTCTCTACTCAAAGACTAGACAGCATTCAAAACAGACTGTGGAAGCCCAGGGCTCCTTGTCCCTATAACTCTCTCCCCTGCCTACCATGCCTGACTGGGAACACTGTCTTTTCTTGTCCTCTGCAGAAAGGACCCAGCCTCAAAATCTTGCTTAGCTTCTTTGAGCAAGGTCTCTCCTTTGAGCAAGTCTTTGGTCTTCGTGAAGTGTTTGTGTTTCTAGAAATACCACGTATTCAGCGCTCATGCGTATTATCGCATTTAATGTAACTTGGTAAGTGGGGGATTATTGTGTTCTTGATAGAGAAGCTAGGATAGATTACAAACACAGTTGGTAGGGGATGGAGCAGGGTTCAAACCCTTCTAAGAGTATCGCCTGCCCCTATAAGGACCATAAAACAGATATAAAAAGCTTTTCTCTTACCTACTTTCTCTCCTCTTCATATTTTATTTAGATTCTGTTCAGAAAGAAAGTTCTACATCATAGATCTTTTGACACAGAAATGACCTGTCTTCTGAGGCCGGCACATCTTTTGGCCATGTGGACCTTGGCAGATGGAAAGGAGAGGGAGCAGGAGGGGAGTTAGGAAGTCCACAAATCAGGAAGTCTGCAGGAATGGGAGAAAGAAAGACAAATATATGAAAGTAGAAATCAAGAAATAAAGAAAATTCTTACTGCCACTGGGGTGTTACCTTTCTCCTAGGCATTAATCGCATGCAATTTATCATCAGTATAAATAGTGTGAAATATATATTTGCTTTTTTCATGAGATGTCCCTTTAGCTCTTGGTTGGATATCAGTTTCATAGCACTTGTCTTTGGTAATCTTAGGGGAAAAAAAAGTAAGAGAGATGGAAAATTACCACCCAGAGCTGGGGTTTTAATGGTTGAATTTTGGACATCAGTTTTCAATAAATATCAAAGATAATTTGGGTAAGGGTGATTCTCTGGAACCATGTATCCTGCTACGGCCAGCTTCATATGCGGCTACCCATAGAAGATCAATTGGGCTGGATAAAGAAGCAAATTAATTTGCCCAGTAAGCAAGCGGCATCAGCAGAGCAAAATCCTTTCTTATACAGAAGTTTACAGAGACTTAGGTTTTTTCACAATAGCTGCCTTCAGAATGATGAATAAGAACAAGTCAGACTCAAACTCTGCCTCCCTTCTCCCAGATGCCTCTGGGCAACTCACCTCTGACTCATGGCTACATGTAGAGGTTGGGACTGAGAACACCTCCTATGTCAGGCTGTGTGGTTACAAGGTTCTGTGGGGCTAACATTTTATAGCACTCAGGACAGTGTCTGGCAAATGGGAAATGCCTTGTTGAAGGTGTGTATAGCCATGTATGCTTATATACATTGTGTGTACACACACATGTGCATGCGTAAAATGATTCTGCAACACATGTGCATGCGTAAAATGATTCTGCAGTCAAATCTCGATCTGGACTTGTCTAGAGAATGTGACACAAGGACACTGAATTTCCTTAAAATGCATGGGAAAAATACTACAGAGCCAGGCATCTGGGACACTTCTGTTTATGCATCTGTGGTTTAATGTACAGGGTGCCCCCAAAGTCTCCCCATGTAGGAGAAGTTACGAAGCTTGCACGGCAACAGGCATCTTAGGATGGGTTCAGCATGAAGAACGTCATGTACATAGAAAGAGGTGGCCAGCATATAGAGAATATTTGGTAAAATTTGGTAAATAAAGGTACATTTAGCTACAATTTCTCATTTCCCCTATGTATGGCAACTTCTGGGACTCCTGTAATTTGGTTGTTTCTTTTTGCCTTTTACTGACATATTGTGATTGCTGTGACCCAGTGGAAGTGTGTCAAGATAAGGCTTGCCCACCTCTGGACCTTCATGCGGACCAGCAGGTAAGGACTGTCTCTGAGGAGGGCCCAGGGACATGCACATGGCTCAGCATGTCCCTCCATCCATCCATTTTCTCTGCGGAGTCTGTCCATCCCTTAATGTCACCACTGTGTGGTCCTGAGTCAAGATGGGTGGAATTCCTCCGCTGGAACTTAGCTGAGACTAATTGGACACAGGGTGTTGTTCTGACTTAGAAAACACATTATTCATGATTCTGATATTTTTCCCAAATGACTCCCAAGAAGGGATTGTGAGTCAGTTAATACAAAACTGAGGACTCATACATCCGACTATGTATTTAGGATTTGGTGGTAAAAGGCGGAAGGGAGGAGTGGAGTTGCAAAGCCAGGCATGCACCCTGAGGTCTCAACATTCTGGTGGCTGCTGCAGGTAGGACATTTCCTACTGTGGACTCATGAGTCCATCAGACCTTTATTCGCTCCCACTTCTGCTACATCCCAGAACTTGCCATTCATCCTGTTTCCAGCTCAGCTTACCAATGCACAACTAATGGATGTTAGTATTTGCTTAGTGATACTGTGAGATTTTGAACTTGTAAAATTATCCACTTGAAAAGCCCACAGACAATATCGTCATGCTTAAATACTCCATCAAGGTCAGCATGGAAGGGATGGGAGCAGTTTGGACAAACAGCACAGATTCAAGGCACCTGTTACCCAAACTAGTCGCTCAATTAAAAGAGGATTATTTTTAATGGCTGAAGACCAAATAGAAGTGTTTTAAGTGTTTACTGATCCACAGAGCCATAATAGGAAATGGTGGAGTGCCCTGACTTTGGACCCAGACAGATCTGAGTACCACCTTGGGTTCTGCGACTTGCCAACTGTGTGTCCCTGGGAAAATCAGCTAACCCCCACCCCGCCCCAAGTTTCAATTTCCTCATCTGAAAAGTAGTACCATAATACCTATGTTAGGGGGTTGTAAAGACTAAAAAACGGTATAAAAACCTAAGCATAATGCCTGGCACACAGACTCAATCAATACTCGGTGTATGGACCTCGCTCAGAATGAATGTACCAGGCTAATTTCACGATTTAAAGATAACAGATGGGAAGGAATCTAAATAACAGATTTTAGAATAAGGTTTCTGATTAACCTTTTGATCCCTTTAGAATAAAACAACATTGCTTTGTTTGTTCTTCTCAATCCTTGGGAGATTGTGTTTTTTGTTTTTTAACTAAAATCAGGAGGTTCATTGCCAGAGGACCTGATTTTATGAACAAGTTATTTTCTAAAAGTTTGTTTTGCCTGTGGGATGTTTGGGATTATTTTTATTTCGAATAGAAACAATGTTGTAATTGGCAAGGACATCCCCAGGCCAGGCCAGCTGTAAGAGCTTATTTAAGATACAAGTAGCTAGTGAGCTGTCCACCCCATGCCTCCTGCAGAGACCCCTCTCCAAACTCAAAGCACATGCAGTTTCTCACCTGCTCAGAGACTGATGGCTTTTCTTCCCTTTGGGGTTGACCCAGACTCTGCTTGTCATCAGGCTCTAGATACCACTTTGCCTCCCACCTTTCTGCCCGCCGAGACCACGCCTCCCCAACTCCGTCCCAGGTCTCGCCCCTTCATACCTCTCTGCCTTTGCACGGGGCGTTCTTGCCGCCGGAAAAGCTTTCTTTGCTTCCTGTTTCTCCTTGTCCCTAGTTCACCTGTAAAAGTTCATATCTTCCTTTCAACACGTCTATCTGTTCTTCCAGGGCTTCATACACCTTCACTGTTGCATCTGCCATGTTGAGGAGGAACGATCAGGTCGTAGAGACTGTTGGATTGGTTATGTCCTCTGCCTGGTCTCTGTAACTGGCCTACAGTGATGAAAATAACAAAACAAATAACAAGCACTTTTTAGTTTTAGCCAGGCACAGTTCTCTAAACATTTTATAGAGATTCACACATCTAATTTCTCTAGTAAACTTAAAAAGTGGAAACTCATTCTAAACATGATTAAACTGGGACACGGAGTAGTTGAGCAACTTGCCTGAGGTGCCCAGCCTGCCGGTAAACGGAGGAGGAGCGGTAAGCAGCTGAGATGTAATCTGGGCAGATATCCTCCAGACGAGAGGGTCTTGCCTGTGAATGACTGAATGCCTATTGGCTGAGCTCTTAAGGAAAGGTGTTGTATACCTTTGTGCTGATGGGGAAAAGGAGGAAAAGGGAGAAAGTGAGTGTGGAGAGACAACTGCCTCCTGATACAAGGAAACAGCCCTGAGAAGTAGCACCAGGACCGGTGCCTCAGGGACAGGGTGGTGGTGCTGTGGGCCTGCAGTTGAGGACGACAGTGAAAGCTCCAGGGGTCTATGCCAGACGTCCACCAAGGACAATAGGAGAGGCCTAACTCTTAGAGAAGGAGAAGGTCCAGTTGGCTGCCAAAGGCTTGGTAATGATGCTATAGAAGGTTCGGACCAGCTGGCAATGCCCAGGAAGTTCTTGACCTTTAGGGCCTGTGTTTAGCCTCCTCCATCAGCTTGCTCTTCCCTGTTCTCTGCCTATAACCTGCTCCCTCACGTCTCCCAGGCTCAGTTTGTGGTCACTTCCTTAGAGAGAGCTGGAAAGTGAAAGCAATAATGGAATTCATAATGGGCTGCAGCCCCCCGTATTCCCTGGCCTGGGCCCCCTGTTTGTTTTCTTATTCGACGTCTGGTCTTCTTGGTCTGTCTTTCCCATGAGACAGCGTGGTGCATTTCTGTCACACTGTGTGTCTCTTGTACCCAGCACCTATTTGGGTGCTTACGCCTTCAGTATATACTTCTGTTTGATCGAATGAGTGGACCAGCAGCTCAGCCTTGGGAAATCCTTTCTGATCCTCGCTGACTCTTTTTACCTTCTCTCTCCCCCACCTTCCATTTCTCTGTAGATAAGCAGTGGAGAGAACATGGGCATCTCCTCTGTAGAGGAATTACCCAGCAGAGGGAAAAGGAGTAACCAGTTCTCCTCTGGTGTAAGGAGAAGCAGTGGGCCTTTTTAGCTGGATACGCCTGGGCTGGGTGCAAACCCTGCCCAGCACGCTTTAGATGTGATTTGGGGTCATTTTACTTAACCTCTCCCATCCTTTGTTCTACGTCCTCATTTGTATGACAGGCATGATAACATATTTCTTCCAGGATTGTTGCAACGTGTGAGTGAGATGAGACAGGTAAACATACGAGGTTACTATTACAGCAGCGGCACAGTAAGAGCTGCTGTTAATATTTACCCCCCCCCTTTTTTTCCTTTAAACTTTATTCAAATTAATACGAGGGTACAATTTTTAGGTTACATTGTTCTCGCTTCATCTCACTCCATTTGTAGAAGAGCCCCTCACCCAGGGGGCGTGTTATATACCCTCACAAGGTGCACATTAGGTGCGATCCCACCTCCGTCCTTCCACCTTCTGCCATACGCCCTTCCCCCTCCTTTTGCCCCCTGGTTTTTGGAAGTTTCATTCCCAGTAGGAAAAACCCCAGAAATACTTAATCTTCAAGAAGAGAAAGTTGGCTCAGCACCCGTAGCACAGTGGTTACAGTGCCAGCCACACACACCAGAGTTGCCAGGTTTGAATCCAGCCCAGGCCAAATAAAACAATAATGACAATTACAACAAAAAATAAATGGGTGTTGTGGCGGGCGCCTGTAGTCCCAGCTACTTGGGAGGCTGAGGCAAGAGAATCGCCTAAGCCCAAGAACTGGAGGCTGCTGTGAGCTGTGATGCCATGGCACTCTACCGAGGGTGACATAGTGAGACTCTATCTCAAAAAAAAAAAAAGAAAAAAAAAAAAAGAAGAGAAAGTTATTTTTTCCCTTTTTCTTGAATCAAAAAGTCTGCTCTTCATAGTGATAGTCGTGTGGATACCAGAATATCTTAATTGATCTTCCCTTGAGTCAGCAAGTACATCGGACCTGAGAATGCTGTGTGGGATTCAGCTTTCATGTTGTTTATGTCACTCATCATTTAGAAATGGATGTGTCACAGGGATTCATCACATCTCCTCCTCCTTCAACATTAATTCTTTCACGTATCTCTTTTGCCTCTGACACCAAAATGCAAAGTCCCCAAAGGCAAGGATTTCTCTGCCTTAGCCAGATGGGGGACCGAGAGGTGTTCAATAGGTACTTTTTTTTTTTTTTTTTTTACCATGGTGCTTCAAATCCTTTATATGTTGTAATGTTGTCTTATCTTAAATAAATAGAAGGGTTTAGGGAAAAAAACAGTATAATGAGGACCCATATTTGTTCTAATGGCAATCTATTGTTTTATTTTTTTTAATTTTTTTTAGACAGAGCCTCAAGCTATCCCCCTGGGTAGAGTGTCATGGCATCACAGCTCACAGCAACCTCCAACTCCTGGGCTCAAGCGAGTCTCCTGCCTCAGCCTCCCAAGTAGCTGGGACTACAGGCG